TGTGGTTGCTTTGGTTGCTAGCAGGTCAAATTTAGTTTGCATTGAAGATGCTGACTTGTATGCAAATGCTCGCTAACTATTGACCTAGCAGCAGTAAAACTTGAAAAAGTGCAACTTAACCAGGAACGTTCTGCCTTTTGAAACATGTTGGCTGCACCGCTGAGGCACAACTTTTATTTTAAAGGCTAATGTTTTCCGTTTCACCATAGCTCAGATAGCAGTTAGACAGTTTTTGTAGACAAGTTAGCATCTTCCTTGCAAACTACTAGCAACCGCAGCAATCTGTTAGCGACCAAAGCTATTTCATATTTACATACAGATGTGACAGGGGTTGCTTTTTAACTTACAGCAAGAAATTAATTGGATCAAACTACCTATTTCTTAAAGGTTATGGTACATTTTAAGTAACCTTTTGAGTTTTGTTTTTTTTTAAATTATGCTTAAATACCAGTAAAGAAACTCATCATCTTTCTCTGCTTTTTTTCTTTCCTTTTTTTTTGATTGAAAAAGAAAGTTAAACCGACTAAAATGAATATTCTAAAAAACAGAAATATGGAGTTTTTGTTTTGGTGATCTTTTTGACAGTATAAGTCGATTTATTTACATTCTCAGGAAAAGTCTAATAGCTGTTTTTAAATTCTACCTGTAAAGCCTGTAGAGCTTCAACATGTCGGGCTTTTGTCTCCTTATATCGCCCCTATTGACCATGTTTGGTTTTGTCGTTACATACCGTACTAGTTTTATGTTGAGCAGGCTGAGTTTAGTTCAAATATTTCTTTTTTTTTTTCATGTTAAAGTGAAGCACACGCAGTATTTAAAGATTGGAGTTTATTGGTCAGACATTCCAAATCGATGTTAGTATAAAGGTCAAAGTGAAAGAAAACCAAAACACTTGCAGGTTATGGTAAGTAATAGTAATAATTGTTGTAAGGTGGTCATAACATTGTATGGAGTGATGGATGTTTACTCTCCCTTTGGCAAACTCCCGCTTACCCCTACGTGTAAATGCTTCAGTGACTCCTTGTTTCTGAAATTCGGGATTTCAGGCCTTAGTGTGTTATTTCGTGGATGTTGGTGTTATTCCATGAGTTGGTGTAATAAGAAATCTACATAAAAGAAAAAAAAAGAATATTAAATTCAATCCAGCTATTTCTTTATGGAGTAAAATATCACAAAAGGACATTCGTGCGTAGCCCCGGTGAGGCCTGATGTGTTCAGTCAGAGACGGTGTCGTTCTGGTTTCTTCGAGTCTTTGAAAGCTTCAGCATACAGTAGATGGTTCGTACAGTCGAACACTATTAGATTTAAAACAGTAAAGTTATCTGAATCCTCGTTACTTTAAAATCTGTGAGTCGTCTTGTCTGATTGTGATGACGTGGTTTCCAGTAGGCTGTTTGTTGTGCTACCTTTTAGTTGTTTTGTTTATCTCTCTTTTTTCCTGTGTATTTGAATGACGTGTGGATGCTTGTGAAGCACATGATTTGTTGTGTCTTTCTGTTTTTTGTTTTTTTACTATACTTTTTGTTTTTGGAAAAAAAAGTAATATTTGCGCTGGTTTTCCTCTTGGCATCGGTGCAAACTTCATTCAGAGTGGAGCAATACTAACAGTAGAGTTATTACAATCAGCTGGGGTCCTGTTGTGCAGCCTTTAAATACAGGAAGAAAAATGTTACCAACCCCAACCTAAAGTGTCATAAAATGAATAGCTAGCCTATATTTGAGTTGGACACCACTTGTATGATTTTACAGTTTCATAGCATTTTCACCAGCACATGCACACACAGAAGTAAGGAGGTGTAACCCTGTAAAAAGTACCATACATCCGCTCATCTGTTAGTAAATGCACAGCTGGCCATTTCTATAATGTAAATGTGAATTTTTTTGCACAAAGTTGAACAAATAAGCTACTTTCCCTGTGTATGTAGTAAGTTGGTGAACTTTGGATCAGTCCAAACTTTCCGCCATATGTACATACGGCACAATTCATGTGTTTATGGAAATTGCAGCTGTGTAGTTATTGTGTAGCAGGAGCCGCTTATACACTTAATGCCACTGTATCAAAGCTTCTGAAAGCCATTTCCCATCTTATTCCCACATGTACTGTATGTTGTGTAAAATGTATTAACATGTACTATATCATAAGTATATATGAATATATAATTACTTGAGGTGCAGTAAATATTTGCCATGGATCAACAAATTCAGTAGGCCCTAAATAGTCGAATAAGTCGTTTGAGGGGGCTGCGTCTCCACGAGTGAACGAGGAAAACATTTTGTGTATTACTTTTGTATTATTTGGTCTTACCCTAATAGATATTAAATAGTTCTTGTTGCATCCTGTTTTGTTATGTGATGAGTTTGCATACGGGTACTATACAGTTGTAGATATGGAAAATGTAACTTTTTTTTAAATGAACTATTGACTTTTAGGTGTAAATAGCTGTGTCGAGTAGCTGACCTTCAATTTCTTCTGTCCAAATACAAACCTTAAATATTCTAATATTCATCTCACCTCCGACATAATTGAATTTTGATTCTTTGTTAAAACTCGCTAAAAAAAAAATCCAATTTAGCCTAAACATGGTGATGAACAGTGATGTGGTTTCTTTTTACATCATAAATTACAATTCATAAACACTTTCATGGATGCTTCACTTTTAAGGAAGGTTGATGATTTGAATACTCCAAATGAATCAGGGGCATTTGTATATATCATTCATTTCATACCTCAGCACACTGTATCCGATTATTACAACTGGAAATGATGTGGTAGTGGAGTAGTAACTAAGTAACCTATAATAAATTACAGAGTTATAAAATATAACAAAATGGTTCTAATAGATACAAATAGCTCTAATTATAAATGTTCCAGATGCTGATCACTATGCTAGACAATCTCCCAGTTTATATTTGTTATATTTGTTCAACCTGCCATCAGCAGCCAATCAGCAACTAAGTTTAAATCAGAGAGGGAATAGAGCAGGTTAATGAGGGTGGCAATAAAAGAAAAACACAAGAGGAAGCCCATTGCTTTCTCCATATCCCCCCTGACTCGTATTTCTGTAGCTTTGCTCTTTGCTAGTGCCATCGTCCCTGCTGGTAGCATGAGATGGTACTTGCAGCCTATTCAGGTTGCATATCCATACATGCTGTCACAAGAAAATTTACTGGGTCTTCCTGCACAGTCCAGCACAGAAATGGAGAAGGGCATCAACCAGGCAGCAGGACCAGCCCCTTTGTGCGAGGAGGAACAGGAGGAGCTCTCCAAAGTGACCTGCAGCAGGCTACTCGTGTAAATGTTTTGTCAGAAACAATGAGATCTGCCAGTGAAGCGCCATGTGAGCCCTGAGCACATGTGACAGATGTGAAAGGGTCTGGACACAGCGTGTTCAAAATTACGCTACCAGCAACATCATCCAGCATGATCCTTCAAGGCATATTCTTGAAGGATACCATAAACCTCCATGTTCCAGCCAGCAGTACCAGGCTAAAACCCTCGGATCTGATGGTGGCCTCACCCATCATGTTCCCTAGGCACATCCATGATTTTATCCAAGTCTGGGGGAAGATTCCCAGCACACCATCCACCATCACTTCACAAGTGTTCCCAGATGTTGGGAGTGCACATGCAAGTGGGGGCTGTAAACAGTAATGAGTACTAAATGAGCTGCATCAGCCTGTAATTTGAATTTTTAACTCTGCTTTTTGTGGTTTTGAATCCAGCCCTCAACAAGCTGCTGAAAGGGTTTACACGGACCGTTATATCATTTCATTCTCAACAATTTATACTGCATCCATGCTTACCAGTAAAGATTTTCATCTTGAATATTTCATTCATCAAGAGCCAATGTATATTTTAAGTGTTTCCTTAATTTCCTGGAGGTGTAAAAAGAATTTATGGATTCCTAAACACAGCTCTAAGAGATTAAGTATTTACCCAATTATTCCAATAAATTACAGACTTAAAGGATATCAATCCTTTGTAGTAATGTTTGTAAACTCACTTGAGTACAAATATTTGCTAAATAAGCAACAGAAACAAATTCCCAAAGGTTTTGTATTTATGTAGTTATTTACACCTTTGCCAAATTTTGAGTCAAATATTCAATTTGTACAATTTTAGTTATATTTAAGTATTTGAATACATTTTCCACGCTTGGCAATAATGTAAAACCAGGGAACTCTGAAACTAAACTTTAACATCACTACTAATTATTGCACTTGAGATAAAACCAGATAAGAGTTACCTTACTCTGAATGTGCAGGTAGATTTTACCTCATTTTAACTATTTTTCTTTTAAGTACATAAATTATTACACTACATTGTAAATATGCAACTACATTGTAAATATGCAACTACATAATAAAATTGTGTAAATTACTTAATACACATTACAACTGCCACCTAATCATCAACTTTAAATTATGGAGAAATATATTTGATATTCAAGAGAAACAAAAACTAAAAAATTTGCTACTGAATAAAATGTAAATTAAAACAATTGAAAAACTTTACAACTCCAATGCTACACACGAATACCAGTGATAATCTTAAAATTCTTTATTCATAAACTTGATGCAAGTTTACAAATTACTGTACATGGTCAAAATTTCTTCAAATGGAAAAAAAACCAAAAACAAGAAACCCAAAATGAGCCAAGAGTGTCAGACTTGTTGGTGCCAGAAAATGAATTGAGATAAATGATACACAGTCCAGTTAGAGAAGCGCCCAATTACCATTGCATGACCGTCAAACTTGAATCGTCTCAGTATCTGCTGTGACCCAAGCTTTTGCATTTTGAAGGGAGGCAGTCACACATGTGGATAAAGGGTCTGTAACAGAGGGTTTAATGTGCACCTCCTCTCTACACCTGACCACACGGGTCCCCATCATTGGTGAAAGTGTCTTGATAAAAGATATTAATAACCTCCACCCTCAGATACATCCTGTTGTCACAGGTCTGATGTAAGCAGTGTGCTGAGAACAAAAGAAATTCTGATCAGAAATTATTCACGATATGACACCTCTCTGGGGAGAAGGGGGGTGGGGGTGAAAAAAAACAAAAAACAGTGAGAGCAATTACACAGACTGGTCAACATGCTCCTTGCAATCCAGCACTCGCTATGTAAATTGCTTTATTACAAAGTCATGCGACCTGTGTTTTAAAGTTCAGTTCATCAGTGGGCAAGTATGTCAAAACATTACTGAAACTGCGCACTAATTAAACCCAGAAAGTCACCCGCAGCTCAACATGGACATGTACCGATCCCCCTCCTAAGTATTGTTTGTTACCTGAGTTGCCATTCAAATGTACTTTTGCAGACAGTGTTAGCAAATAAACTGCAAAAGAGCCAACAGATTGATAGATACAACGTGTGTCCTGTAATTTGGGGAACAGCAGCACTCTGTGTGTACTACAGGATATTTCAAGGTCAAAGTTCGAATGTACAGTTTTATAATCACACTACTAAATCATCCTTTCCACAAGCAACACTGAAACACACCTGTGCTATATTGTAATGGCAGAGGAAGCCCTACAGATAATGGACATTTAGCTCCAAGTCATGTCGAGTGACAGGGCGGCAAACTTTAAATGGGCAGGGAGGGGAACGAAAAACAAAAACAAACAAACAAAACACTACAACAAATTTATGCGAGGATGATATGACAAGTTTGCTTTAAAATTAAATTAAAAAAAAAAAATGAACAGAGGAACATCCAAAAAAACCTTAATTTATTTCCTCAATAAAGTCCACTCCAGCAGATATGCTGGATGAAATGACTGCAATCAAATCAAACCCAGCTTTTTAGATCAGCGGCTGAATAGGGGGCTTCTGTACAACGTGCTGTTAACTTTACACACAGATGGCTTCATTGTCAGCATCCAACTAGCCATCAACCTCTACAGGTAATCTAAAAAAAAAAAAAAAAAAAAAAAAAAAAAAAAAAAAAAAAAAAAAAAAAAAAAAAAAAAAAAAAAAAAAAAAAAAAAAAAAAAAAAAAAAGCACTTGCAGCCTTTGACATAAATAAGGCAAGAGGACCCAAGAGGGTTAGAACTTCCAATCTTATGTATCCTCTCACTATAAGATATACAATATGGAAATTCTGATTTATTTCATACCTATCGGCCTTATTTTCTAATTAACTGCAAGTTGACTTGTTCACAACACTGCAGCATTTTGTTTCTGCTTGACCCGAAGTTCTTCACACATTATAAAAAGCAAGTGCCAAAAAACCCCCAAAAAAACAAAAAAACAAAACAAAACAAAACAAACAAAAAAAACAGTGAGTAGGTAATCTCAAATTTAAGATAAGCTTACAAAATATGGAATCGTATCATTTGTTGTCTAGGATACCCAAAAAAAAAAAAAAAAAAAAAAAAAAAAAAAAAAGCAGTTGTGAGGAGGTTCTGCTTCTGTATCAATCTTCCTTTAAAATTCCCACTAAATGAGGGGTAGTGGACTGTGAAGCCCGCTTTGTCAAAGCAGCTGAAGAAAAAGCATTTCCCCAAATTTCAAGGGAGAAAATTTTTTTTTTGTTTGTTTTTTTGTTTGTTTGTTTTCAAAAGACAAATGAGCATATTTAGAAAACAGAACTAGTGATAACCTCACATAATCCTCCTCACTAAAACACTGAGGGGGAGAAGCAAAGTGAGACCGGAATAAAGTCTTTCCTGGAGCGAGGTGACGGGAATATTTGTCAAATGAGCCACGAGATGGTTTCTGTGAGAACGATGATATATTCCCAGTAAGTCAGAGAGGGAAAATATTCCAAAGAAAGCAAGACGACTCAAAGACATGTTCCCGGTGCATAGTGGTAGAAGCTCCTTATCCATCCTCTTTAGGTGGTGTGTACCAACCTGAAGGAACAGAAAGACAAACGCAGTTATTTAAAGAAGCCTTGTTAAAGTGGAATTCATTGACAGTGCATATTGTACACGAACACACAAAAGCCTGATATAAACGCAGTTTCAAACAACTAGAACTGCAACACAGATGTGGTGAAAGAAGAGTGCACAGTTCATCCTGCATGTGGGTCATTGATGTGACCTATTTCTGTGCACCAGCGCATCATTTCTGTTAAATGAATTCGTTTATTTTATAAAACTTAGTTTGAATACATTTGTAGTGCCTTCAAATATGAATTTTTAAAAGTTATCTAAAACCTGTAAATGTCACATGGTCCAACTGTTCGTTTAAATGAACAGAAGACCATCTCTTTAAATGGTAAAATATATCTAGGCTGGTACACTTTTCATGGCAGGTGGTATGACCAGTGTATGTCATAAAAAAGTGATATGTTTATGCTATTGCTACCAAAAACAAAGGTCAACATTGGTGTCCAAGTAAAACCCTATTTAAACTGGTAATAGTTGTGAAAGTAAGGAGTGCAATCTCAGATCTTTCTTATCTAATAGCTTTTATTATTTAATAGTTTTACTTAAAATATTTGAGAGACTCAGCTTTTGTCATGAACTGAATAAATTGTTTTATACAGAAATTTAGGCACAAAATATGATTCAGAGACACAAATTTATAAAAAATTCATACATAAATGCGTTCATGCATGAATACCAAATACTACGTCACATCGATGACCCACAAATGACTGCAGTACCCAAAAAAAGGCCATTTTAAACCAAGAGAAACAGGGTGTGTGCTACATGCAAATGAAACGTGCACTTATAACCTTTAAGGAAGTACAGTACAAAAATGCAGTGGTATTTTACATATGTGGAAGTATGTTTAAAGCTAATGGAAATGCCATTAGTAAAAACTTAATACTCAAATTGTAATTTGTGTGAAAAACAGTGGGACTAGTATGGATTTTGTTTGTAAAAAGGTTAATTTTTTTTTTAACACTTTTGCCTATAAATTTTAATTTCCCAGTAAGAAAAGCTTGCTCATGTTTACATTTATATGAAAGTAGACTGTATACATGCATCAGTGTATGGGGACCATTAGCTAAGGATCATGATGTTCCCATTGTGTGTTTATTGAGTGTCAGTAATTCATAACTCTTTCCTTACCATTCTTTTCATGAATCTGAACCAGGGATTTGTATGACTGTTGTGCTCTGGCAAGATTGTACTGGTTCTGAAAGACAAAAGGCAACATGTCAATACGCAGAAGCAGGATGATCCATTTATTTTACTTGTTTTCATTACTGAAACAAAGTTCATTTGAAAACAAAAACAAACATCACACCCGTTCATGATATGTGTTACCTTATTGGCTCCAAACTGCACCCTGGCTTTTCCTTTAACCAGAGTTGCATTTATCTGCATAATGACAGATTCTATGGAATAGGCACTGCTCCAGCCCTAACAAACGCAAATGGAAATGAATCAGTTCCTGTTGTTAGTCATAATTATTATTTTATTTATCCCATTTGCATACCTGTTTTGTGAGAAGTTCCATGCACAATGCTCCTCCCCCTAAAACATAACTAAAAAAAAAAAAAAGATTCACAAATGTGTCATTGAGCGAGAGTATTAATCTTTTCAAAAAAAAAAAGAAAAAAGAAAAAGTATTTTTCTTGCTCTCCAGAATTTTCTTTTTTAATTTGCTAAACTTATCAGAAGCCTTGAAAGTAAGTATAGCGCAGTGATGTATGGCAATGGCGTGTGCTTTATAATTCCTTTTAAATTAAATTTTAACTGCTTCACCTCTACTGCCATAAGCATAGATACAGTGAATCTTCACAAGTCATACCATACTTATTTACAACAGGACTTCTCTCTAGCAGAGGATCTCCTGTTCTATGATAATAGGTTATTTCTACCCTGTACCGAGCACAATGCAACATAAGCCACTGTATCTTTTAAAAAATAAATAAATGGGAAAAAAATCCTAAGCCACTTAATTTCATGTAACATTTGCTTTATTGACCCACTTGACACACACTTTTTTTATTTTTACTTAACTCTTTAGAGTATTATATATATATATTATATCATCAAACTCCTTATTAAGCACCTGTAATTCAACTTTTGTTTTAAATTTTTTATTTCCGACTTCCTTTGTTTTATCCTGTTTAAGTTCGGTCTTTCCATTTTCATCTTCGTAATATTAACTGCCTTCACTCACTCCACGCCATATTTGTCAATGCTCTTGTCACATCTCGTTTAGATTTTTGTAATTCTCTTCTCTGTGGTCTACCTCAAATCTCTCCATAAATTGCAGTTAGTTCAAAACAAAGCCGCTCGTATTATATTCTGAATTAGATCTACTGAACATAGAACACCTGTTCTTAAACCGCTCCGTTGGTTTCCAGTTCACCTCCGTGTCCATTTCAAGATCCTGCTTCTTACTTTCAAAGCGCTTCTTAACCTTTCTCCCCCATATTTATTTGATCCTTTCCATACGTACTCACCCCCTAGTACACCTTGCTCTTCTTCAGTTTCCCTTCTGTCTGTTCCACCTGCTCGCCTGACTTTCATGGGACTCAGACCCTTTAGTTGTTTTGCCCAGAGACTTCACAGTTCGGAGATGTGGTGGAAGTGCATTCCAAACTCTCTCTCCACTTTTAAATCGCGTCTTAAAACCCATCTATTCAAAATTTCATACCCTTCATCATGATTCCGTCATAGTCCATTTGTACCTTGTTTGGCTTTTATACTTTATTTTTCATTTACCTTATGTTTTATGGGTTTTTTTGTACTAATGTAAAGTGACCTTGAGCGTCTTTAAAGGCACGATAAATAAAATGTATTATTATTATTAGTTTTTTTTAAGTTATTTCTTTAAACACCACCTATAAAATGGCTTAAACAATCTTAAGGCTGCGATACAGCAGGAATTTACATATTTGTTTAGTCTAAACAGTGGGGTGTTATTTTTTAATAACAGATGAAACCATTTGAAGTTGTCAAGCAAATCATAAAGCATATTCTGGGCAGTAACATTCATAAGATGCATATGATGTTGTATGTAATTTGGGCTGGGAACACTACTGCACACTCACCCTCCAGAGAGCACAGGCGAGACAACCCGTACAAAAGGTGGGTCAAAGGGAAAATTATCCTGTTGTAGAGAAGAAGAAAAAACTGCCTTAAGACAGCCCTATACTACAAAAAAAATAAAATAAATCTGTTGACAATTACTTCCATAGGACTCACTTTATAAGAGAAATTGAGCAAAATGTAATCCACTCCTTCCTTTTCTTTTAAGACCTGCAAGTCACTATGTAATGGACTATCTGGGTCTACCCTGTAACAAACAGCAACAGAAAAGGTCAAATAAAAGCATAATTTTCAAAGTTGGAAATATAAATAGAATAAAAATACACTCAGAATAAGAACTTACGTCCTTAACTTCACATGCCATTCATAAAGGCTGTCATTGACTAGTTCGACTGAATAAATACCTGTGAAATGAGTCACAAACGCACAAAGAGCTTCACTTAAAGCTTCTGGAAAAAGAACATTAAATACAATGCAAGCCACAAGCATTGAGTAATGGTTCCTTGTATTCACCTGTCTTGTAACTCTGTGACCTGTAGATCTCCCTGAGTTCCTTCATTAGGCGGTCTGAGGCTTGCACTGAGCCAGAGACTGCACCCTGCAACATAAAACAACTGACGGTTAAACAACTGGACAAACAGGAAGCATACCAGAGGTTTTCAGATTTTGCACAATTTTCTTGGACTGCTGCATTTTTGCACTGAGTGTTGGAGGTTGCTGTTAAACTGGTAGGTTGCATGAGAATGTACAACTTCTTCCCTTTATAATTGACAGACTCAATGAGTCTGTCAATTATACCGCGCCGAAAAAAATAAACAAATCATAATTAAAATTAAAATTATTTTCTAGTAGAAATTCATACAAAAGACTAATTATCTCATCGTGATTGTGCATTCATAATCTCCAAAAGCCAAAAATATTAACTGAGATTAAGGTTTGATTAAAAATGTGACAGATGGAAATCTTACATTCAAGTGATCTTGTCTCTGATTTTTACGGATTTTCTCCAAGATAGCCAGATTTTCTTTTTCTATCCCTTCATCTTCTGACTTTTTTCCATCCACCGGCTCCTCTTCTTTCATTTCGTAATGGTCCAGGTCTTGGTCCAGATCAATATCCTGCTGGCAGAACACATACATTTGTTCAGAAAAGAGAAAAAAAAACCCCCAAAGATATTAAACAAATTGATGATCAATCAATGGATCATATTTGGATACCTCTCCCATTTCGTCTTCTTCTTCCTCTTCAGATGTCACGTCACCTGATAACCCGTGCTGTGAAAGGTTGGAAATTGAAAAACAGTGAGTAGCTAAGGTCAACGAAAGACTCTTGAGCTTTACTCTTATTTACTGAGCTTACTTTTCTGTCTTGGGTGATCGGGCCAGCTGGTAGAGGCTGGTCCAGCATTTCTACATCTGGATGTTGTGGCAGGTTGTAAAGACGACAGAGATCACAAATAAGGCGCTTCAACTGCTGTAGAAGCTATAAGAAACATCGAGAAGATCAACTGTCAATAATAATATTAAATTACATTTTCCTAATGTAGCAAAGCATCCTATGTGGAGCAAGAGCCATATTAACCATCTTACCAATGTGCTGCCTTTCCTCACATCTTCTAGGCGCTCCAACACTTCAGCCAGACTGGGATCATCAGAGTCGACAAACCATATTGGTGGCGTTGAGGGATAGGATTCCTGCAACAGCAGCAATAAGAATCATGCTCAAGTGCTGATGGCTTTACAGTCAACAGAATGCACTTGAATTGTACAGAGAAAACCACTGCTTTTAAGAAACAAAAATGTCACCCTGGGTTAGAAATCTGATTAACATAAAGGGTAATAAAGTTCGTTTCAGAGTTACAAGTGACTTCAAACCAAAAGCCTTAGCCCACACAGCCACCCACTGTACAAAATTAGCCTCCTACAAGCTGAAGAGCGAAAGCAACTCGAGCACGAGAGAGAAGTGGTTAAGTGCTCCTTTGACATTTCAATTAGGTCTTAATACAGCTTTTGAAGTCATGAGTAAAAATCCAGTTTTCAACTGCTGTGCTTAGCAGCAAACGTATTCAAACAAGCATTTAGACACATATGGTAGTACTATGTAAAGTTTGTAAAGCCCAAGAGAAGAAAATACTGCACACAGAAGAAGAGAGAACCATGTATATATTAATAAGAGATGTTTTATTTTTGATTAGGTTTTTCAGAAAGTTAAGAAAGACGTTGAGAGAAAACATGCTGTATAAAATATGCAGTAATGACTGTGCAGTATTCATGTTAAAATGACTGCACTGAAGTCTGAGAAAACTTCCCTACTTTTCAACTGATTCAAGATCCCAATTTAAAAAAAGAAAAAAAAAAAAAAGAAGTTTGTCTCGATTGGTAGTTTTAGTTAAAGTTCAAGACCAATTTTTTTTCTCGTTTTAAAGGTTAATAAATCTGCTGGTTTTCCAGAGTCTGAGTAATCATGCTGATTAACTGAGTCAGAAACATCCCTCAATCATAATGCCTGCTTTCAAACAACAAAGATGGTGATGACCAAAAAGCCAAACTCGTGTTTAAAATAGGATCTGACTGAGTGCCTGATACATGCATGCGCCACAGATGAAAAATATTATAGTATTTACAACCTCCAATCAAACCTGGCATAAGATCTCTCATCCACTGTGGGGAGGAGTTAAACACACGGTGCCACAATGTAAACTACACTGTGTAAACTGGGCATCTAATTGTAACCATGACTTGGATGCTGACGTGAATGCTCTTTACAAGTCAGAAACTGGTGAACTGGTAATTACGATGCCTTTATTATCAGCACAGTGTAGTGTTAGTGTAACTCAATAATATGTGCCTTTCAACTTCTTACTAATCTCCATACTAGAGTTCAGCTGATAAACTGATCTTTTACACAAAATGTCATCAATTTCCGAGTTCCTGCTTCTATTTTACCCCTTCGATAACTAAGTGTCATGAGATTTGGGCTGTTGTTACACATTTTAACATTTATTCTTCTGTCTAACTGAACTCTGACTCTCATTCAAGAAAAATGCTGTAAAGTTTATTTTATACTTGCACACAGTGGCCCCCTTTTTGAAAGCTGGAGTGTGTGGTACATAATGGGCGAGCTAGAGGGTCAGTCTCTGCAGGTATTTAAACAATTTATCAAGGACAGAGTACAATGGCAAGGAATTTTTGGAAAAAGACTGCTGAAACAAGTGGAAAATAAAAGACTTTTTGCAGAGAAGTCTAGAAAAAACACCTTTGTGTTTGTAAGACACTTCCTACTTCCTATAAATCATTGCCTACAACTCCAACAGTCAAGTGTACCCATATGTGTGACTGTCTAGGATAAAGCCATCTATAATTTCATCCATCTAATTTCAAGCTTATCTAAGGTCAGGTCACAGAAGCTGTAACCCTTAACATTATATTTCAAACATCTTTTTACTCCAGTTACTCCTTGAGGACACCCACTCCATCCCAGTACCCAGGGATAAATAACCTGAGTGTTCTGGTTTTGACCCAGGGTCTCCTCCTAGTTGCCAGTGCCCAGAAAACCTCCAAAGGTAGGTATTAAGGAGGTATTCTGGCCAGATAACAGAACCATCTCAGTTAGCTCCTTTAAAAGTGAAGCAAGAGGGACTCTACTCTGTGCTCCCACTGGATATCTGACTGTCTTACCCAGTCTATAACACTGAGCTCAGCCACCATATGATGGAAACCGATCAACCCCTTTTATTTGTGACCTTGTTCTCCAGTCGCCACCCAAAACTCATGACAACAGGAGAGGGCTGGAACTACAGACAGTACAAAAGATGATCCAGGCATCTGATTTGGGTCAGAAAAGTGAAGTCTATTTGTCTAAATCTGTTACGTTCACATGACGGCTCTACGTGTACATGGTAAATAATGTGCACTTGTCTTTAAATAATACCAGCGAGAATAACAGCATCAGTGGGTGCTCTCCTATGTTTCACGAGACAGAACATTTGGTTTATGCTTTGACCCGTCTTCCTCCCTTCATACCAACCATTTGTGGAAGATGGCCACCCCTCCCTGAACCTGGTTCAGCTGGAGGTTTCTTCCTGTTAAAACAAACTTTTTCCTTCCCATTGTCGCCAAACACTTTCTCATAGGAAATCATACGTTGGGTTTCTCGGTGTATGTATTATTGTAGGGTCTACCTTAAAATATACAGTCCCTTGAGGTGACTGTTGTCGTGATTTGAATTAAATGTCTCTTTGCTTTTCTAATCCTTGGAAGACTTGGTTTAAATATCTTTTAAGTATCAGCCGTGCCAGTTTTTCCAACTATTTTAATCAGATATTTTGTGGCTGTCTGCCAACTTAGATGCTAGCATAACACTGTGAATGTGCTGCTTACGTAGCCTTAAGCTTTATTTGTGCTCACCACATTGGTAGCCGTGTGCACCTACTGTGATGTCATTGCAGTACATCAGACTAGAAATCTTCTCCTGATTGATGGAGGTCACCACTCAGACAAAACCTCTGCATCAATGCTTGCATAGAAGGAGGATGCAAAGGAAACAGTTTTATGTTATTTTCCTTCAAAGTCTCATCTTTCTGAAGCAAACTTAAGTGGTGAAAACTGGGCCCTAGACTGCAGTCTAAAGGGGCAATTATAATTTGTATTGTCACCGTTGCAAACAGTGGTGCCTCAAGCCATGCTTGGTCATTTAGGCTGCTTGTACATCTACATTGGCGGCAAAGCTGGTAGACATGAATGTATGGCTGTGACAACTTGCACCACCTTTTCAATGATATAGCAGTATAGGAGCTCAGTGATTCACAAATTATACAGAGGGAGATGCCTCCAGTTTTGATTTCTTCTACTCCTAAACCAGCACTAATGTGGAGGTTTCTGTCTGAGCAGAGAAGAATGCAGTTCAGGAGAAGAATGAAGCACTGGTATAAATGCTGACCAGTTTGTAGTGACATTACTGTTTGTGCACAACATGATCAATGCAGTAAACCTAATGGGCTTTGGCATAATCCTAGCTATGAAAAAATAAAAAATAATAATAATGTAAAAATAAATAAATTTAATAAAAAAAAAAATAAAAAAAAAAATCACTCTGTAGCTCTGATGTCTTCGTGGCAATCTGCTTCAAATCATACCCAATGATATCCAACATGACCATGTTCACAGCATGGGGCCACATTTAACTCACAGCTAACCCTCTGAATAGGAAGAATGCAATATACCTGAGTGTAATCTAGTTTTCCTTTAGCATGGGCTGACTCAAAAGGACACAGACAGTGAGGTTTAATCTCAATATGGCAAGGTATTCGGAACGTTTCAACAAGCACTCGCGCGTCCTCAAAATGCGCATAAGTGTAACTGTGTGTGTGCATGCTTCTGCTGAGAGGAGGAGGATGTGGTCAGGTTGTCAGGAAGATTCATCATCTGCTTACCTGAACCAAGCAAAACAAGTGCCAAGCGAAAAGAAAGAACCTCAGTTGTTAATAGATTACACCTACCTTCATCCACATTTTGTGATGGCTGGGAATGTCTGCTTTGCGCAAGTTTGAATTTGATTTTAATCGCTAATGTATTGGAGCGGGCTGTGAAACGCGTATAAATACTAGGCCCCTGTTTCGTGTCTTTTTTTTTTTTTTGGGTGGTGGGGGGGGCTGCGTTACTAAAAAATATACAGTTCCGCTGACGTTAACAGCTGGTCAAAAAAGCAATATTGTCACGTACATTTCACATGTACATTGCGTCGCTTTCGTCAGGTTTTAGTGTCGAGATAAAGAAGACACTAACGTAACCGCTTTAATGTATGCCAGTAAGTTCGTCAGAGGGATCAGTCTACTTACTGAAAAAGGCAGAAAGGACGACCGAACAGCATTCCATTAAACCGCTTCTATTTCACGTCAATTAAAGGCATGTACGGGACCTCGACGCTATGTCTGTTTAAAAAAAACACACGTACACAGTAAAATACTGCTTGAAAGCAGCTGGGGTGTAGTGAAAGCCCTCGTATGACCGAACTAAATTAAGTTTAAATTGAACTAGATATAGGCCATAAGTGATAAAGTTAGCCGTTGTACTACTTTCAACAGTAACGCAGTTAATTTGGCAAACAAAAACAAGCTAGCATTAATGTTAGTTTCAGTTAACAAGCTAGCAAAAGCAACCGCAGCGTCGTTACTAATCGACGTTTTATTGTATAATTTTTCAAAGTGAACATAACACTGTTCGTGTGTCGTCCACTTTAATCCACGGGGTTACTCGGATTTTAATGGCCTGACACAGTTTATAAATGAAAGCGAAGACTTTATTCGTAGTTAATTTGTAAACACGGTGCCTTCCGCGGACCGATTTGGTTTCAGTCGATAGTCAGACGCTGGGTTAGCTTGTGCGCAGAGCTGGCCTGGACTCACCGTGATGTTGCAGTGGATGATCAGCAGCTTCTCCCTTGTTACGTTGAATTGGCAACTGAGTTCATCGGGTTTCCAGTCTATTATTCTGAATCGTTCGTGGTTTGGGTCAAAGATTGACTCCAAAAACTTCAGTTCGGCCTTCAGCCCCGAAACCGACATCTTCTACTCATCTCAAACCACCAGGCCGCTGGCAGAGGGGAAGTCGGGGCGGAATGCGACCGCGCAGTCGAATCGGCTGTACGGATCTCGCATATTAGCGTGAGAACAACAACAAAGGGCTGGAGAGTTAGCTTTATATAAACCTGTGTAGCGCACATAGACTCTTAGCAGCGTTTTGACAGCTGTGACACCACATACGTACATAAATATATTTACATTATTTTATATTTATTTTCGCACTAGTACAGATGGAGTCATAGTTGTGACTTTTGCTTAAACGAACCATTTAACAGCATGAAAAGGTTCAGTGTTATACAAGATAATTAGTGCCCCCCATCCCCTTGTTTTTTTTTTGTTTGTTTTGTTGTTGTTGTTGTTGTTTTTGTTTTTAAAAAAGAGTATTTCCTATATGCTGTTAAACAAAGCAAAGAATCTTAAACACGGACAACCTAGTTTTATTTTGGATGGTTACTACTTCACACATAGAAACAAAATTATTTAGGAAAAAACGAAACTACCATGGTCAAAATTATTAGCTTCCCTATTGCCAACAGTCAGTTGTGTATCCTTTTTGCTGGATAACAGCCTGGAGGCATTTGTTGTAGTTTTCACCAAGTCCCACAAGCAAATCTTGAGCAATCAATTCTTTTTTGGCAAATCTCTCAAGCTCCTTCAGATGTGATGGTCTTCTGTCTGGCAGGGACTCTGGTCTTCAGTTCACCCCACAGATTTTCAGTGGGATACAATTCAGGGCTTTGTGTGGGCCAGTCAGCAACGTTCACTTTGGTCTTCTGTAGGTAGTTCTTCACCAGGAACGACCTATGCTCAAGGTCGTTGTTGTGTTGGAAGGTAAAGTGATGACACAGACACAATTTTCCTGTTTGAGGTTTTTTAAAATAAAAATCTTCACACACCATTCTTTCTTAATTATTGCTTCTGCTTTGATAAGATTTCCAGTTCTTGATGCACTGAAGTCTCCCCATAGTATAATACTCCCACCACCGTGTTTACCCTGGGGATGATGTTCTTTGGGTTGTAGGCCTCTCACTTTATTCTGTAAACATAAGCAACATCTCTTTGGCCAAAGAGCTCTAGTTTTAGGCACACTGCCAGTATAATCTTTCTCCAGGTTGTCCTGGGAATACTCCAGTCTAGCATGAAGGTGTCTGTTTTGCAAAAGCAGAGTTTTTCTTGGTCTGAAACCTTGGGGTCTATTCCTGAGCATTGATTTAGTTATTTTCTTCTTTAAGACTACAATTGTCTTCCTTCTCATATCCCAACTAGTGGCAGCAGATGGCTGCCCCTCCCTGAGCCTGGTTCTGCTGGAGGTTTCTTCCTGTTAAAAGGGAGTTTTTCCTTCCCACTATCGCCAAAGTGCTTGCTCACAGGGGATCGTTTGACTGTTGGGTTTTTCTGTGTATGTATTATTGTAGGGTCTACTTTACAATATAAAGCACCTTGAGGTAACTGATGTTCTGATTTGGTGCTGTATAAATAAAATTGAATTGAACTGAATTACAATTGCAGGCTCAGCTAAGGTATTTACTAGAATCTTAGCAGTTGGTTTGGGGCCTTTAGACACATGTTTCACCAGTTTTACTTTCGTTTATCTAAATTTATCTAAATCTTTCAAGTTTTGAGCATCACAAAGTTAAAACACATCATCGTACAGCAGTGGTTTGTACCATGGCTAAATAAAACGGTCAGTTTCTCAGGAGAATAATAATATTGACCCTGGTCAATTTTGTTTTTCTGAATTAATACTGTTATTGTGTTCAAACAGAAATAATTTGTGCAGTCTAATGAAAAATAGTATGTTCAGGAAGTGCTATGTTGACAGTCTCTTGCGCTGTTAAAAAAAAAAGCACAGGTCAATTTTGACAAAAACTTTAAATTTCATGGGGGGTAATAATTTTGTCCTGATATGCATATACATGTATTGATACTATTTATCAGTCAGATGTATAATTAGTCAGTGTATAATACCAGTCAGACATGTAGCTACATCAGCTGTTTGGGAATTGTGAATGTTTGTGGCACAACAGCACATATTAACTGTCACGCAAAGCAAAACTGTGAATCATGAAAAGACCACAAACTAATTGACATACTCAAGCCTGTGGTCTTATGAGTGTTGCCTGGCTTCTACAAGATAAGATAATATAAGAGAAAAGACGACTACATAGTTTAATGTAGAATAGTTAAATAAAAGAACAACAATATGACAAAACAAAGTATAGAAATGCACAAAAGCCAATACTTAAAACGTATTGTCGAATGAAGTGGTAAAGATTTTCTGTATCTGTCCTGTGTCAAACAGAGTAAAAGAACCGATTAACAAATTTTGAGCCTATAGTCACTGTGTCAACAGTTTGGCCCATATATTTTTATTTCTTTTGTTTTTGTCGTTATTTATTCCCTCCTTTATTTCCTAAAAAACATATAAATCTTCAGTGAAAGTAAATATATTTTAGTAAAGTCTTCTAGGTCTTGAATATCATCACACTGTCTTTAAACATGTAGCTAGTGTAACTTATGTGACACCGTTGATAAACCACTACTTATTGTAAATGTTATCTCATTGGCTGATAAGCTGATATCAGTTAAAATAGCCAATGCTGGATGATAACAATGTTTGGTGTTAATGAAAATAACAATGGTGCACTAGAGGGGCATCAGTGAGACAAATGACAAGACGTGAATGGTTTTACAGGTGGAGGCCAGTGACATTTTTTCCTCCTCATATTTCTAGACTGTTTTTTCACTACTTTTGCATTTAACTATAGGGTCAGGGTCACTACTGGTAGCACAAGGCGATACCTGGACCCTACAGAGGTTTCACAGGTAGTCCCACTCCTCCAGTATGGCATATGTGCCACTGGAGTTTGTTCTGTCTTCCAGCAAAGTCTCAAGAGCATGGAGGAGATTCCGGGAGACAAGCAGTTACACTTGGAGAGCTGGGCACAGCTGTGGAAGGTCCGTAACCCATCAGCCACCAAGGACAGGATAAGGACTGCCAGAGCCTTACAAAATGACTTCCAGCAGCAGGACACTGGTGTGAGTGTCTCTGACCAAGCAATCAGACAGTGACTTCACAAGGGCCTGGCATCCTCAAGTGGGACCGTGCTCACGGCTCAGCACCGTGGAACCAGATTGGAATTTGTCATAGAATTAAAGGTTCAGCATTGGCACCCTGCGCTTTTCACAGATGAGAGCAAGTTCACCCTGTGCATATGTGACAGACGCATGTGAAAAAGAATGTTTTGCTGCCTTTAACATTGTTACATTGAAGGCATATAATAACGTAGGGAGGGACAGACCTCTACAGGCTAGCCAACTGCGCTATGGCTGCCATTCACTACTATGCTGGTGGAGTGGGTGCTGGGTTCCTCCTGATGCACAACAATGCTTGGCCTCATGTGGTGAGAGTCTGCAGGCATTTCCTGGAGGAATAAGAAACTGAACCATAGACCGGACCCTACGTTAAAACCTATAGAGCACCTCTGGGACCTTACATTTTGGTCCACCGAGTTGCATGTCAGCCTGTGCAGGATCTAAGTGCTTCCCTGGTCTAGATATGGAAAGAGATCACCCAGGACATCATGTCTTCTCATTAGGAGTGTGCACCAATGATGTCAGACATTCATAGTCAGAATCTATACAAACTACTGATTATCGTTCTGAGTTGCTATAGTGACATGTTAGCATTTCCAGTGAGATGCTCTGCAGCCACTTACAGTTGCTGCTTGTTTATGGGTGTTTCTGCATTCAGTCTTGTATTTAATAGTGGAAAAACACCCGATTTAAGCTCAAGAGCTTTGATCAGGTGACTGACGTGGTCACTGGAGAATATCCCATTTCTTTGCCTTTGGGAAACTCTTGCAGTTTGCTTTGGGTCATCACCATTATCACTACGAAGCACTGTCCAGTTTGGAGCATTTGGCTGTTTTCATTCTGTCATAATGCCGTGTGTGAGCCAGGAAGGATCAGGACCTAAAATACAGAACTCAGAAGCAGGACTAAGTTATAAGTGCATATAAACCAAGTTATTCCATTGATATGAGTTACAGCTGCTGTTTAAACATTCAGAACTTTTACTTCTATACACCTATAAACCATCTCAACATAATATGACTGCATTAATAAGCACATTTCTAACTGATCTCATAGAGATAATCGTTTCTGGTAATTTTAGGCTGTGGAAACACTTTTTTGCATGCACCCATGCAGTTTAATGCTCTGGCCTAGGTAAACAATCAAGCAGTACAGAGTAATGCACTGATTGGACACTAGATGGCAGAAAACATGCATCTGTGCTGTTTACAAGCTAACATGAACTCTGGCAGTAGTAGTTCAAAGCCCAGTACACACACCTTGTATAACACAAATCAGTACACCGTGTAAAAGGTGGATTTAACACAGCACCAAACATTGCATAACCGTGATAGCGAACTTGAACCTGGGGTTCACGGCTCGAAGCATTTAGGTAAGTATTACTATAGCTTAAAATGTAAATATGTTTGGAGAAACATCCCGCACTTTGTGATAAAACACTTTATGATAAAAATGTGAGTCTAACTATTTTAATTTTGGATGATTAAACGTCTATAATTAGATATTATGGAGTGGTACGCCTAGATTGTGATCTTAAAGGCAGATTTAGCTAGCTTTGTTGGATTTGATTTTATTAAACAGTGTGGTCTTTCGCAAAAAAAAACTGCAGTTGGAGTTGTATTATATATAGGCTGTGGACCAAAATGACGCAGAGCCGGTTTTTCATTAGAACTTAATTCAATTATTACAGTTTAAATTTCTAGAATGTTTTCAATTTTTTCCCCTCGTGTGGCTATGAAGAGTGAGGCTGGTGCAATATTTTATTTGTGAAATTGAGCGTGGGTGTGGATAATTACAATTATACTGTTTGATTTGAGTTTTGTGTCTGGATCCCTTTCTTTATTTTTTTTAATCTCTGAGAATTATGAAGACCCAGGCTGGTATAAAAGTTTTTTTTTATTTTTCACTGTAAGGGAGTGGGAATGTGGACTAGCAGTCCAGCGCTGGTTGTGTGGCACATCCCCGCATGGAAGCTGTGGGTCCAGCTGTGGGGAATGACCAGTTAATGCCCAGCTGCCCGTCTGAGCTGCACATCCCCAAAGCACAGAGTTTCCCAAACCCTGGCTTGGTCCATAACATGGACATATGTGTCCAGCTTCTCACAGAACACAAAGACTATCAGCAAATATATTCAAAGTATCCAAAGTTAAAATGCCTACATAAAAAATCTTTTAATGTCTAATGTTATAATACTGTTAGTACTGATGCAGTGAGGTATAAGAAGCCCTGTTTTATGAGTTTAAACTGAGCTGCTTTTTAAAAACTGCTTTAAATACAACAAAATATCTTAATCCATAGATTTCTAAGGTTTGGGTGCTCCAACAATAAATAAAAAAGCAAAAACAAAAAAAGACAATACACATATGTTTATTTTTGCCATATTTGCCATGTTTCTTTAGTCTTTTAGAGGACGTTTGAGTTTTATGAAGTACTAAATAATTTGAACTCTTCTGATCTACATAAATTATTTCAGTGAATCCCTGTGAGAAGATTAGTAGAGGAATCCCCACACAGCTCTTAAACATCAGAAACACGACAGGGAGCCCCAATAGGGCACAGCATGCTTCTATAATCTCTGATAGGTAAAAAGAAACTTTGGGTTTCAAATATTGCAATGAAGTAAACACTATTTGTCTCTTTATTGCAGTGGAGTAGACATATATAGTCAAGATATCAAGTGGAAATATCAAATTATACAAAAATGATCAGGCAGTACTGTGTTACCGACTTGTTTTTGTGTATTTTTAAGGTATCTGAGGGACGTCATGAAGATGCTTTATTTACCTTTGATCCTCTTTACGCTACTCTCATTTCAACCACCCGGTTCATTTGGGGGCAAAATTCTGGTGTTCCCACTGGATGGAAGCCATTGGATAAACATGAAAGTGCTCATAGAGGAACTGCATGCCAAAGGTCATGAGATCACTGTCATTCGGCCATCTGATAGCTGGTACATCAGTGAGAAATCTCCACTCTATACCTCTGTCACACTTCCCTACTCTAGTGGATTTGAGGAAAACTTTGAAACATATTTGTTTCAACAGCTGGAAATCCGGCTTCAGGGAAAACCTACGTCCTCTTGGTCCCACATCTGGACTCAAATTCAGATCCGGAATGTGGTTGTAGAACAGTTCACTCAGTTTCACAAAGGGATGAGAGAAACAATCGTTCAGATGTTTGAAGACAAAGAGCTGATGCAGTCTTTACATGCTGCTAAATACGATGTGCTTTTGACTGACCCTGGCATCGGTTGCGGGGCCATGCTGGCACGTCGACTTCAGCTTCCTCTGGTTTTCAATGTAAGATGGACCATTCAAGGCGAGGCTCACTTCCTTATTGCTCCCTCACCTCTGGCATACATTCCTTTTACTGGAACAGAGTTAACAGATAAGATGACCTTCTCTGAGAGAATAAAGAATATGTTGAGTTACATTATTGGCATGTACACATTGTTTCACATGGCAGAAACAAACTACAAACCGGTTGTTATGAAGTACTTTGGGCCTGATGTGGATTACTCAACGTTTTTCCTGGACGCTGATATATGGCTTATGAGAAATGATTTTGTCTTTGAATTCCCACGTCCAACATTGCCAAATATTGTCTACATGGGTGGATTTCAATGTAAACCCTCAAAAGCGCTTCCTGATGACCTGGAGACATTTGTCCAGAGCTCTGGAGACCACGGAGTCATTGTGATGACCCTCGGGACTTTAGTTGCAAAGCTTCCTCAACATGTTACTGAGGAAATTGCTGCAGCCTTTGCCCGACTTCCTCAGAAGGTTATATGGAGGTATATAGGACAAAGGCCAACCAACCTGGGAAACAACACGTTACTAGTTAACTGGCTGCCACAAAATGATCTCTTAGGACATCCCAAAACTAGAGCGTTCGTGACCCATGGAGGCACCAATGGAGTTCAGGAAGCAATTTACCACGGGGTGCCTATAGTTGGACTGCCCTTATTCTTTGATCAGCCCGATAATCTCTCCAGGATCAAAGCAAAAGGAGGAGCTGTGATTGTGGATATCGCTATGCTCAAAAGAGATAGCTTTGCAGAGGCACTGATGACAGCTCTTTACAATTCCACTTACAGGGAAAACATGCAGATGCTCTCCAGGCTGCACAGAGATCAGCCCATGAAACCTCTGGATCAGGCAGTGTTTTGGATAGAATATGTTATAAGACATAAAGGGACCCGTCATCTGCAGACACAGTCGTACAAAATGTCGTGGTTTGTGTACAAGTCTCTTGATGTCATTGCTTTTTTGTTGACCGTCGTTTTGCTTATGATGCTCATTTGTGTGTCATGTCTAAGGCTAGTGTGGAGAATGATCTTTTCTGGAAAAAAAGTTAAACGTGAGTGATCAGAAAAACAAAAGCGATCCAATCTGAAAAACTTTCTCTGCACCAGCCATGTGCTAATTACCTGAAAGCATTTTACTTTGCCATATTTATCTTGAGAAAATCAAGAGCATAACCCTGAATGTTTCTGATTTCAGTCGAGGTTTTTATTTGTGAAGCTATGATATCTTTGAATGGTGAAGAATCATTAAAAAAAAAAAAATCAACCAATCCACACATGGATCAACTCTAGAAGTGAATCACTCTAAAGCTGGGCAAGCTCCACCTTGTTTTTCACCAAATTGTTTTTTGAAAAGTGCTTTGTGAATAAAGATGATTCTAGTATTTTCTATTTAATAATTTCTCTTGTATTTTCATTGTTTCCTGCTTACATTTTTAAAGAATTATGTCAGTGATGTGTACTGCTCTTAAGCCATTTACTGACCAGGCACTAGATGGCAATACAAGACACACTGCACCTATCTGTCCCGTACTGTTTTCCTGACAGTGAAGTTAAGCTGATTTTTATTTATAATGGCTCAGTCCAGTCCTGCATTAGTAGATGTGCCATTCTGTAAAAATTTGTAAGAAATTCAATTTATGTCCTTTTGTGTTTGAAAAATGAAGAAAATGGATTCTGCAGGATTTTAATGATAGCCCCTGGGCTCAGGAAGTAGAGCAGGTCATCTGCTACAGAAGGTTGGTTGCTCAATCCCTGGCTGCTCCAGTCTGCATGCCAAAGTATCCTTAGGCAAGATACTGAACTCAGAGTTTCACCTGATGCGTTTTTTCAGACAGTGAATGTATGTGAAGGTTAGACAAAAAGCATTTACACATTCAAAAACAAAAACAAAAACAGTTTTTAGGACTATGTGTGTGAATGAGGCTTATATAAACTGCTTTGAGTGTTCAAATAGAGTAGAAAAGCACTCTACCAGTTCATTTACTATTTATTTACTCGGTTTGTCAGATCTGTGGGCTTTATGAAGACAAAAATGATTTAAAAACGCTCACAGTCAGCAAACAGATGTAATTGCATGTCCTGTGTGCATGCTACTGCACATTGGCAACAGACGTCATGTCTTACTTTTTTTGTTTGTGGCTCTCATAGTCAGTGAATTTCCAGGTGGACTCGGGATGAGGGACAGATTCAGTAGCAGTGGGTTAATTACAGTGAAGCAAATTTCAAAGTGACCACTAAAGGAATTGTGAATAGCGTGTCCAGAGGTCTAATATATACAAATCCACAGGGTCTCTTCCTCACAGGGAAAAACACTCTGTCTTGGATATCACTCAGCGCAAAGGGAATCCGGTGCAGAGAAGAGAAAATGGTGAGACATTTATTTTCTCCTAGTCTACACTTAAATGAAAGCAGATGTCCTCTTAGCACTGTGAGGTGCAAACTACATAATCAGTTTATCCATCCGTTCTCTTCCGCTTTCTCCCGATCAGGGTCGCAGGGAGGCTGGAGCCTATCCTTGCTACCTTGGGGCGAGAGGCAGGGTACACCTTGGAGAGATTGCCAGTCTGACACAGGACTCAAACTACGTTATGTATTTGCTTAACTATTACTCACCTCTCACTGAAAGTTAACAACCACTCAGATTTGTATTGTACATTCACAGATGCCTGCTAATTACTGCAGCTGAAATTTCATTCACAAAAACTGGAGCACATTTGTACGGTCTGTTAGTACAATTAGCTGCACATGAGTCACATTGTTTGACAAATAACTGAAGAAAAAGGAACTGACAAAGACCAGTGATTGTATAACAGGGTCCAGTTCAGTGACCCCATACTGCGTTGTTACAAAAGGGAGGAAATGAGCTTCGAGCCATTCCTAAATGCAACGGAAGGTTTTCTTGCAATTCAGCTATTGCTTTATTTTTCAGCCTTTCGGGTTGTTTTTTGCAAATCATCCCTTCACAGAAAGCCACAGGGAAACTTGATTAAATGTCATATATGTGTGCCCATTTGTTTACCTCTTTTGCTGTGATGCACCTGCGTGTAGTACTCCTAAACACCAATGATGTGTTGATGTGGATATTTTCTCTTTTTTTGACCGTTCTCTATAACTCTGGGAAAATCCAGTTCAGCAGTTTCTGAAATACTCAGACCAGCTAATCTGGTATCAACAATCACGCCACATTCAAAGTCACTTAAATCACCTTTTATCCCCATTCTGTTGCTCGGTTTCAGCCCATTGATAAACAACAACAAATCCTGGTCTGAGTGTGGGGGATTGTCACATTTTCTCTATCTAGTTTCCAGCTCCACAAAAAAGTGATTTTTTTTCTTAAAAATATAAATAAAAATTTTCAATCACTTAAGCATATTAGAAAATTGACAAGACATTCCCTAATGTAAAAAGAATGGTGATAATTATTGTATCAAGAAACAGTGGATCATCTTTTTTACTGCATACTTCTTATCTTCTGCGGCTTCCCCAAAAAATACTGACATTGTCAGCGCCACCCCCGCATTCACCGTGAATGAAAGCGGACTTTGATAATGCATAACAAAAATAGTGGTTAAATACACCCATAAGCGTGTCGGGCACTGAATGTGGGAATACCAGTAGTTATGATGATGAACGAGCACAAATTTGCCTTTTTTAATAAAAAGAAAAGAGAAGAATCACTCGAGGCAAGTAGTAACTTTCTTTTGCAAAACAGTAATTTCTGAAAATACAGTTTCAGCTCAAAATGACATTATACTGATTAACATTAGATTTTCCTGCTAGTCTTGACTGATAGGAAGTGTTCTTATTGCATAGTAAATAATAACAAGAGTCCAAACAACTGATTACATCATGTTATAAGGATGAAAGAAAATGAGAAACAGTATCGTGTTTAGTATATTATACTAACGTCTGATGGGGTAAGGTAACACTCCAGATGTCCTGTCCAATATATATTACAATTATTACATTCTCACATGCACCTCTGTTTAGGGATGTCTATTAATATTCAGCGTTTCAGTGCATGCTTGAAAACAGCTTAAGCAAAGTGTTGGACCACCAGAACAGCATCACTGTCTCTCTGCAGTGATTCTCCAGATGTCTGAAACTTTACTGGAGGAATGGAACATTATTATTTTAACAGATGTCTTCTGTTTTGGTATTTTGATGGTGATGGTGGAGAGTGCTGTGTATTCAGCTCAGTTGACTGACAAATTGTACTGTTGCAGTCTTACAGGTTCCAGGGTTGCATAAGTTTTGGTTCTTGTTTTGAATTTATAGTTGTTTTTTAGGTGTTCGCGTTAATCAGTGTAGTCTAAGGATAGTTGTCCGTGCCTATGTGTTTATATAAACACCTGCCTTTGCCCTCACTTTTGTCTGTTTACTTTCCCTCCTGTATATTTGCTGCTGTTCCTGTGAACTTTCTGTTATCTGGGTTTTGTATTTTGCCTACCTTTGCATGCTGCTTTTGGGTCATCTCTTCACTTACTGGCCAAAATGAGTCACACTATTTTCATACTCAGGCTTTCTGACTGATGATCCTGCCACTTATGCCCCAACAACGAACCCTTTTTTAAAGTCACTGTGAGAAATCGTCCATTTTTTAAAAGTCAGAACCAACTGAACCAGCTCAGCAGTTTTATACAGCAGGCTGAGAAAACCTGGATATAAACTGATTTTGTGCTAGTGCATTCCTTGTATTTCTTGACCTATATATTCAGGTTTTTAAATCTGTTATCCATCTGTGATATCTGGGAGTCCAGATGACCCACTTTATGTGGGACTGTGCACCATTTTTCCTGTCCCCTCATCCCACACTGAAATGCCGATGAAGGCAAAATGACAGATATGAATTCAAAAAGAAATGTACTGATCTAAACAGGCATACCTCATGAATACCAAAGGTGATTATCACAAAGAAAAGCTGCTGAAATAACTCTAAGGTTTTACTTTTCTCTTTTATTAATACAGGAATTTAATTACTGACTGAAGAAGTGGTGAAACAAATCTTTAATTTACAATATAGAGTGTTGGCAACAGTTGTTGTCATTGGTTGCGATATAAATAAAGCTGAATTGAATTGTTTCTTTTTATTTGATATGTAGATGCTTTTTTTCACTTACATATAATTATGCAAACGATGCAAGTATGGTGATATGAGTACAAACTCTTGGTTAATACGTTGTTCAATACACTGGTTCAATCTCACATTAATGCAAATATGTGATCAGCCAATCAAATGGCAGCATCTCAGTGCATCTAGGCACGATCAGGACAACCTGCTGGAGTTCAAACTGAGCATCAGAACGGAGAAGGAAGATGGACTACAACAGCAGAGGACCACACCAAATGCCACTCCTGTCAGCTGAAAACAGGAAACTGATACTACAATAATGCCTGGTCTGGTAGAGACAGAATTGAGTGTTAACAACATAAACGCATTCATTCTTCTTGACTTGTATCAGTTGTTCAGGCGGTTGCTGGTGGTAAAGTGACGTATTTGCATCCCTTTGTCCATCCCTTTAAAACCACAGAATACTCATTTTCTAATGGATGCTTCCAGTAAGATAACACACCATGTCACGAAGCTCAGATCCCCTTGAACTGGTTTCTTGAACATGAAAATGAGTTAACTGTACTCACATGGCGTCCACAGTCACAAGATCTCAATCCAACAGAGCACCTTTGAGGTGTAGTGCTACGGAACATTGGCATCATGGATGTACAGGTGACAAATCTGCAGCAACTGTGTGATGCTGTCATGTCAGCGTGGATCAAAAATAATGTTTCCAGCACCTCATTGAACCCATAGCACAATTAACGCAGTTCTGCAGGCAAAAGACACCATACTCTTTGCCCCACATTCATGATGTAGAAGACCAAGTGACTTGTGCTTCTGTGCTGTAGGTGTCAGCCTGCCATTAACCTATATTTGCTCAAAGAGAAATTGGATTAAAAGTTTGCGTAAAGCCACAGGTGCTGTTGGGTTCAAGGCTTAGTCAGCCCGAGTGAGAACCTGCTTGACACAGGACACGGCTGCTCAGCGAGTAGCTACTGAAGGATGAAGTGTCAAAGAAACACTCGCTTCTGATTGGTTTGCAGACACTGTAGGCGACAACGGCTTAATTTGACTACAAGAAAGAAACAATCGCAACTATATTCTAATTCTTAAGGGGCTTCGTACAAAACAGGTCTAGCAATATACATATAAATAGCATGGTTATTATCTTATTTCAACAAAATCGATTTGTGCTTCACTTTTGCCATTGGACGCACCGTCTTGTCTCTGCGCTCCTCCAAGATCTCGCGGGATTAAAGATGTAACGGGTGGTTAAGAAAAAAAAAAGGAAAAAAAGGTGGTTCGGTATCTGCACCGGGTTGTCAGCAGAGCGGCACAGGT